CCACACACACACACATAATTATTCTAGCACACTCTTAGGCCAGAAAGGTGCTGGGAGGGCAGTGACTGGGTGCATGCAGGTAGTTGGAGGCTGGCTCTTGGGTCCACCCCTCTGTGTGGTGCTCTGCCCATGCTGCTGCTGCTGCTGGACTCCATTCCAGCTGGCTGATGACTCGTGGGACCCTTTGGCAAATGCCCAAATCACAGAACCAGGCTTGCTCAGCTCACAGGCAGCAAGCCAGGCCTTCCGACTGCCCACTGCCTGCCCTGGCTGCGGCTCCTCACTGCAAGTGGGCAATCATGCCAGGCTGCCCATGTTTCGGGGCCCCAGGTGAAGATCCTTGAGAAAGCTTAAAGCAGTGACGTGTGGACTCCTCACCGTGGTGATGCTGCAGATGGGTGAAGCTCCAGCCAGGGAAGGAGAAAGGGTTCTGCAGTGGCAGGCAAGGGGAGTGGAACCCTGAAAGGCTTTCAGTGCCCCAGTGGGACCTACCGGTGACAGCCATGGCTACCATGCCTCCTCCTAGCCATTTAGGGATCTCCTGTTTTGGTTAGTTTCCAGCCCAGGAATAGGAAGGACTTCTCAGAATCACCTTGCCAGTGCCCATATGGGTGTTCACTCCACCCCTGAACACAGAGCACAGAGGTGAAGACCAAGCGCCGCACAGGCCGCGGCCCCAGTGGCACGGGCAGGAGGAAGGTTTTATTCATGTAGTGTTGACCTCGCTCAGCCTCCCTGCAGTGTCTACTTTCTTCCACATTATCTGAAGATGTGGCTTATTTTCCTTGGTATGCCCCCTACTGTCACCCACAAGGCAGTTTCAGACCTGGGGACTCTAGCTTGCCCCAGCACTTGAAGAGGGCTCCCTAAAAATGGCTTCACACCCTCCCATAAAGAAGGCTGCTGGCTCACAGCCACCTGGGTTTACAGCCCAACGTGTCCAGACTCTAGCATTCTCAACAAAGGTCATCAGGGAAGACTTCTTGTAGGAGGCACTCTTCTGAGACTTGAAGGACAAAAGGCTGCCAAGTGGTCCTTAGATAACTGGGGAGAGGGGACGTGTCCCTCAATGAACATTGGGAGAAAGCTGTGGTGGCAGAGGACTCTCCACTGTGTCATATGTAGATGGTGGGGGGGCTAGTCTCAGGGTGGTCCCAGGAGGGAATAAGATGAAACATGGCTCTCCTCCATCCACTCTGCTGGCTGAGTATTTGGCTTCCTGCTGGCTGGTGCCTCTTCTCCACAGAGCCCCCCCCATGCCCCCTCTGTGCAGGAGGAGGCCTGAGACTCTGGGGAGGGAGCGAGGGGCAGCCAGAGCCCCAGCTGCATCCCTCTCCTTCTGAAGGTCCAATTGTAAACCTCCAGCAGGTTCTCAGTGTTCTGGGTGAGCAGCCATGGCTGTCTGCCAGGGGTGGGGGTGGTCTTGTGCTGGGCAGCGGCTGTGGACTCAGCAGGGCTGTCCTCACAACACGGCTCATTTGGTCTCTGGTGTCAAGTGCTCTTGGCGAGGCATGTTGGGAGTCAGAGAACCCCAGCTTTTGAGCCAGGCCCACTCTGAGATCTGCAGCACCCTCATGACCTTGACCCTAATGCTTTCGCCAGGCCAGGCCAGCTGGAGTGACCTGGGTGGGAGGTATGGGAGCGAGCAACAGAAGTCCGATTTCCACTGCTGGATGGATCCAAAAACCCTGCTCATGCCTGGGTGAAACTAGGCTCTATGGTGAAGGAATTTGCCAGCGGGAAGAGGCACAGATGCCAAGTAATCAGCATTCACCCATCCAGAACCCAGCTGGGGTGGAAAGGGGTGGAGAATGGAGAAGTCCCCTCACAATCTCAATACTATGGCCCTGACAGGACAGGTCTGGTGGCTCTGGCTGCCTGGAAGCCCAAGGCCCATGGCCCCCAACAGCCCAAGAGGAAACAGCATGGGCGGTGGCTAAATGGGAAAGGTTGGAAGACAGTTATGTCAGCACAAGTCAGGAACAAACAGCAAGGGCCCCACGCCCTCCCCAGGCTCCCCCTACCTCCGCTGGTTCCCAGGGAGAGGTCTTCAGGCCTGGCAGACCAGCTTCCTCCTCTCAGAGCCCTTGGTTCTGCCTGCTGATGTCCTCCAGCCTCAGGCTCCCGCCCCCCCCTTGATCTTACCTGAACACAGAGGAACTGGATTCTCCAGGAGGGTGGACACTCAGCACCCCCCCACCCTCCACCTCTGCCATCCCCCAAGGGGCACTGCTGCCAGGACATGGTGGTTGCAACCACACACATACTAGATGGACCACAGATCAGGCCACGCAGGCCAGCCGAGTAATACCCCCCCCCCAAGCCCTCTGTGATGTTCACTTGGGCACTGGTCATCTTTAGATGCCCTCAGGCAGACCCTACCCCCAAAGCCCCTAACTGGGCTGGGCTTCTCTTCAGTGGTCATTTACCTGGTGTGGTGAGCCCCCACTCAACACTAGGGCCAAGGGGGTATCCCCTGGACACCCTCTCTCACTACTCTTGGGGCAGAGGCACCACCCACATTTGTCCACAGGGACCCTGACCTAGGTGTGGCTTTCACGGGAATGGCTAACCAGTCCTGTCCTGATTCTGAGTATTATAACCAGTATAGGGGTCAGCCTCTCTTCAGTCTGGAGACAGGGATTAGGTTAGACTTTCCAGGTAGCAAGAACCACCAGAGCAAAAGTGGTTCAGAGGAGTGAGTGAGGGTATGCAGTGTCACTCAGGGCCGAGCAGGGCTGCGGTCTACACCCCACCAACCTGCTCCGGGCCTCAGTTTCCCCAGCGGTACGCCCAGGTTGCCTCTTGGGACAAGCGAGGCGTGGGAGCGGGCCACCTGGGAGCGCTGCCTTGCGCTCGGACCAGAGAAGCGACGCGCTCCACCGTCTCGCGCCCGCGCGCTCCG